TGCGCACGTAACTTATTTAACTGAATTAGACGGCATAACTTTGACGAATAACTTAACAGTGCTAACTTAGCAGTGCTCCCACATTTTCTTTTAGGTTTCATCAGCCTTTTTTCTCTTTTCAGAAACTAATCATTCGGGAACATGGAAAAAATGGTTTATAAAAGGGCGGGGGATGAAATAAAAGTAACTTTTATGACGTATACTACACAATAAATTCCATAATATGATGCAACATTCTCAAAACCAGATAAATAATAACTTTCATAACTTCTGCAGCAATAATCTCAGCATCTCTATAACTACGACATTGAACAAATCTGTTTCTTCAATTGGAAGATCTGCAAAATATTTTAATTTTAATATTTAAAATAATAAATACAAAACACAACTTAGACGCATTACTCTTAACAGTAAGTTAGTCAAATATGTTAGCTAGCATGCATGCACGTAAAAACATAAGTTAGATACATAACTCTATACACTAAGTTAATCAAGTAAGTTGGGTAGCATACACATGAAAAGAGGAGTTAGATACAAAACTCAGTATAACAGAGCTAACAAACTAAGTGAGGTAGCATAGGCATGAAAAATAAAAAGACAGATAAATAACTCTGATATTTAACATAGCACTACAAAAAGACTATATAGAACAAATCTATAAAAAACTATTTTAATAGCAATGAATATAATAAGTTAAGTAGAAAATCATATATATTATATCTTGTTCATGTATAATTTGAAAGCTTTATACCCTGACAAGTTTAAGAAGGAGGAAAGATAAGGATTCCATCAAAGATAAAATAATAGGTACAAATATGAAATTTTACATATTGCTCAGCTATGTCACGTATTGCAGCTAACAAGAATTGATTCTCCTCATGGGTGCACAAATAGTATGTCAATGCCTCACGAATAGGCTTTGCATGCTCCTGCATGACATAAAAATTTGGAAAACATCTTATCAACTAATCTGAAGATGTAGGCAATATGCCCTAATCAAATGATCACAATTTTAAAAATAGAACTTGACAAAGCCATAATTCAAGAACAAAGTAACACCTCTTTGAAATAGAGATGAGCCTGGCCATCATAAGATTCAAGTAATTCAAGAACAAAAACTTCACTGTCATTTCTGCAAAATAATGCTTTTTTAAATGTTAATACCTTAAAAGGTTTAACAAAGGATACGAATTTTCCAAAAAAATAGTGAATAAGTCAAAAGAAGCATACTGGCTAATTGAATTGGACACACTACCAAAAGTAATGCCCATCCTGTAAACATCAACTCTTTTCGATAATGGATATGAAAACTTCAAGATTTTGCGAAAGTTCCTCACAATTATGAGAGCATCTTCTTTGACAATACTAAAGTCCTTAAATGGACAGATGACTTCAAATTTTTGTTCCCTCGTGTTTGTAATAACAACATACCAATATCTATTCTTGCAAGCTGGAACAAAAATCTTTCGACAAAAAACAAAAAGATTTTATGAATTTTAATATGAAATGAATATGAAAAATCCATTCATAAAACATAACATTTCTCCTCATTTTTAAATAGAAAAGGACATGTATATCACAAAGCCACACACATATAGTATGGAATGAATTAAATTAAAAAAAACTTACAAGGTTAGCATTGTCTAGACTATATCCAACGTATTTCTCTGAGAAGTGATAAGAAATATCACTTGGAACAAGATCGACATTTTTGAAGTTCAAGCTGACAAATATGCATATAAGATTTAATAAATACATATTGAAAAGCATTATCACAATGGGTAATTAAGTTAGACGTACAAGTAGCAAAACAAAACTTAAGCATATAATTTAATAAACCAAGTCCAACACACAAGTTAATTACTACAAGTTATGTGCAAAATATAATAAACCAACCAACTTATGTGCAAAAAAAGTTATATAAAAGTTAATAGCTACAGATTATGTCAACAAATTTAGACATAAACTTATGTGAAGAAAGTTAGACATACAAGTTATGTGTAGAAAGTTATACATGTGAAGAAAGTTAGATATAAAAAGTTAGACATGAAACTAATAATTACAAATTATGTGCAAAAAGTTACGCATAAAAGTTTGACAAGAAAGTTACAATTTAATACAGAAACTACAACATAATAACTACAATGTACAAGTTACATGCATATAATTTAATAAACCAGGTTCAATATAAGAAAAATTTTAGGATAGTTCATACCTGTACTTCGAACAAAGTTGAGCAACACAACTTGTGCACAGAAGTTAGGCAATACAACTTATGTAAATAAGTTATGGAACACAATTTATCTGCATAACTTATGACGTATAAAGCTTGTGGCATATGGAGCTAAGATATAGACAATCACATATGTCAAAAAAAGTCATTTACATACACCAAATGTTTTCTTCACTAGAACTATACAAGCAAGAAAAAATTCAGCACATATGTCAAATGCACTTCACATATTAGACTTGGTTTTATACCAAAAGCACATACATTTAGTCACACATCCCCAAAACACTCCTAATAATACAAGTGAATTGTGGTCTCAAAACACTTCTAATCATACAAGAAAATAAAAACATTCAATACTTTCTGCTGCACAAATGAACTAGTCCTACAGTTTAACAAAGAAACCTTGAAATAAATTAAAACTAAGATTCCACTTGGATTGATATTATCCAAAGAAATAATGAAAAATAACACATAAAAAAGACTGAAACAAACTAAATCAGGCTTGACATAACAATACTCTAGATTGGTAATATACTCTAACCACTCCCTAGATTGGTAATGTACATATAATATTTATGTTTGATTGAGCATTCCCATCAACATCCTATCTATTCAACTTTCTGGCTGCACGGTACAGTTGGTCATCCTCCAATGATACTGAAAACATTATGCTCACATAGATCGGAGAAAGCTTATAGACAACAAAAGAGAGGACAAAGAGGATAAACTATGTACTAAAAAAATTAAGTGTCGATCGTATACCCATACCCTGTGCTCCATATTGATAGTATATTCAATTACTGTTAATAATCAACTCAAATCCACCACAATAACAATACCCCATAGTGATAGTATATTCAAGTACTGTCAGTAATCAACTCAAATGCAGCACAAGGATAACTAATTAATATTATCACCAAAGGAAGACTAGTTAGTATTTTCATCTTGGCTTACGGATTAATATTACCATCAAAGGAAAATAACTAAAAATAAATTAGAACAAAATAGGGCAGCACTGATGTGTAAGCCTCATGTTCTTATATCTTTTAAAGCAAGATGTGTTGGGTTGTATTATAACTTTTTTTGTTGAGTTCAGTTGAATGACACAGCTAGTTTAAGAAAGCAGCCAACAATGCTCAATTTTTTATGTCATAGTTCATTTTCTGATTATGTGCAAAAGGCTATTAAGGAAAAGAAGGAGTGTCATAAGCGCTTGTATCATAACAGGTGTGCAGACAACATAGAGAAGCACAAGGTGACAAAGAAAACTGCAAAACAAGCGGTGAGTGAAGCAAAGGGCTCACGATAGGAAGACAAGGGATTTCAACCAAGTCAAGTGCATAAAGGATGAGATGGAGCAGCTCTTGATAAAGGAGAAGGAGATCAGACATAGATGGCAAGAGTATTTTGATAAACTATTTAATGGTGAGAACGAGAACACTGCCGTTTAGCTAGATGACTCGTTTGATGACACTAACAGACGCTTTGTACGGAGAATTCAAGAATTAGAGATCAGAGAAGTCTTGAAAAGGATGAAAGGGGCAAAGCGATGGGCCATGATGGTATCACAATCAAGATGTTGAGATGTCTCGGGGATATAGCTATAATATGGCTAACCAAGATGTTCAAAGTGTTTAATATGAATGTTGCAAATGTAGATTGGGATGTTGAATATGTTGCAATGGTTATACACGTGGGCTGCAAGCGTGTATTTCAAATGTTTCATCTGTTTTTTTTTCAGACGTATATTGCAGGTGTTTTTATTTGGATGTCGCACATGTTTCACACATATATTGTATTTGTTTCACAAATATGTTGTAAGTGTTTTATCTGGATGTAGCATATATTTTGCAATGGCTTCTCAAGTGTTTTTAGGTGTTTTTGCAAGTGTTTCGGACACATGTTTCATCTGTTTTCAGACGCATGTTGCAAATGTTTTATCTGGACGTTTCTAAAATGGATCGGGTGTTGTACAGGTTACATTGTGACTCACCTGCCACAGTTGACTGCTGCAGCTGCTGGGACGGCGTGCATGCGTGTGACAAGATGATGATTATCAGCGAAAGAGTACGAAAAAAACAAAGGACATAAAACACTGCATCCCCAGTAAGCATGGACAACAAAACAGCTCATCATTCACCAATCACCACGAAAGGTCCTAAATAACAGCATTTAGCGCGAAGACAAAAACACAGTCGAAAGCACGCACCCCAGTCAGATTGCGAGAAAGCTTTTCTTTTTTGCAAAGGTGAGAGCGATAACGTTGAACCAAGGCAAAGCCATGCGCATGTCCCGTCCTCACCAACTCTTGGGTCTTGAGTCCTGATGCGCACCAACCGCAGACCTGCTGCGACCGAGCTTCCTGCCCCAGCGATGAACACGAAAGGCCACCAAGATCGGCACATGTTTGTCTTCTCTTCCAACTAACTGGCGCATTGGCATGGTCGTCTTGGACCAGTCACCACAGTCCACACCACCAGCTCCCTTCCCGGAAGCCTATTTAAACCTCGCCGCTCCCACTGGTTCTGTCCAGGAAGAGCAGCACTACCAAATCCTAGCGCAACACTAGCTCTCCTGTACAGCTTCCCAACAATCCATATCTCGCTGATCGGAATTTCTCAAATCGATCCTCAGCTTCATCGGTGCTTTAGTTCTCTGTGCTTGCAATGGCGTGCGAGAACAGCAACGTTACTGCCAATGGCGATGGCCTGTGCATGGCGACGCCCCGCGCTGACCCGCTTAACTGGGGAAGGCGGCGGAGGAGCTGATGGGCAGCCACCTCGACGAGGTGAAGCGGATGGTGGCCGAGTACCGCCAGCCCTTGGTGAAGATCGAGGGCGCCAGCCTCCGCATCGCGCAGGTGGCCGCCGTGGCCGCCGGCGCTGGCGAGGCCCGCGTCGAGCTCGACGAGTCCGCCCGTGGCCGGGTCAAGGCCAGCAGCGACTGGGTCATGAACAGCATGATGAACGGCACCGACAGCTACGGCGTCACCACCGGCTTCGGCGCCACGTCCCACAGGAGGACCAAGGAGGGCGGCGCTCTCCAGAGGGAGCTCATCCGGTTCCTCAACGCTGGCGCATTCGGCACCGGCACCGACGGCCACGTCCTGCCGGCCGAAGCCACGAGGGCGGCCATGCTCGTCCGCATCAACACCCTGCTCCAGGGGTACTCCGGCATCCGCTTCGAGATCCTGGAGGCGATCGTCAAGCTGCTCAATGCCAACGTCACGCCGTGCCTGCCGCTCCGCGGCACGGTCACCGCGTCCGGCGACCTCGTGCCGCTCTCCTACATTGCCGGCCTCGTCACCGGGCGCGAGAACTCTGTTGCAGTCGCCCCGGATGGCAGCAAGGTGAACGCCGCAGAGGCGTTCAAGATTGCCGGCATCCAGGGCGGCTTCTTCGAGCTGCAGCCCAAGGAGGGTCTTGCGATGGTGAACGGCACGGCCGTGGGCTCTGGCCTTGCCTCCACCGTGCTCTTTGAGGCGAACATCCTAGCCATCCTTGCCGAGGTCCTGTCCGCCGTGTTCTGCGAGGTCATGAACGGCAAGCCGGAGTACACCGACCACCTGACCCACAAGCTGAAGCACCACCCGGGACAGATCGAGGCGGCTGCCATCATGGAGCACATCTTGGAGGAAGCTCCTACATGAAGCTTGCCAAGAAGCTCGGCGAGCTGGACCCGTTGATGAAGCCGAAGCAGGACCGGTACGCGCTCCGCACGTCGCCGCAGTGGCTTGGCCCCCAGATTGAGGTTATCCGTGCCGCCACCAAGTCCATTGAGCGCGAGATCAACTCCGTCAACGACAACCCGCTCATCGATGTCGCCCGCAGCAAGGCTCTTCACGGTGGCAACTTCCAGGGCACGCCCATCAGGGGTGTCCATGGACAACACCCGTCTCGCCATCGCAGCCATCGGCAAGCTCATGTTTGCGCAGTTCTCTGAGCTCGTCAACGACTACTACAACAACGGCTTGCCCTCCAACCTGTCCGGTGGGCGCAACCCCAGCGGACTACGGCTTCAAGGGCGCCGAGATCGCCATGGCGTCCTACTGCTCTGAGCTGCAGTTCCTGGGGAACCCGGTCACCAACCACGTCCAGAGCGCGGAGCAGCACAACCAGGACGTGAACTCGCTCGGACTCATCTCCTCCAGGAAGACCGCTGAGGCCATCGAGATCCTGAAGCTCATGTCCTCGACGTTCCTGATCGCCCTGTGCCAGGCGGTCGACCTGCGGCACATCGAGGAGAACGTGAAGAGCGCCGTCAAGAGCTGCGTGATGACGGTGGCGAAGAAGACTCTGAGCACCAACTCCACCGGCGGTCTCCACGTCGCGCGCTTCTGCGAGAAGTACCTGCTCCAGGAGATCGAGCGCGAGGCGGTGTTCGCGTATGCCGACGACCCCTGCAGCGCTAACTACCCGCTGATGAAGAAGCTTCGCAACGTGCTCGTGGAGCGCGCCCTCGCCAACGGCGCTGCCGAGTTCGACGCCGAGACATCCGTGTTCGCCAAGGTCGCCCAGTTCGAGGAGGAGCTGCGCGCGGCGCTGCCCAAGGCGGTGGAGGCTGCACGGGCGGCTGTCGAGAACGGCACGGCAGCGGTACCAAACAGAATCACCGAGTGCCGCTCCTACCCGCTCTACCGCTTCGTGCGCGAGGAGGTCGGAGCCGTGTACCTCACAGGCGAGAAGACGCGCTCTCCCGGCGAGGAGCTCAACAAGGTGCTCGTTGCCATCAACCAGGGCAAGCACATCGACCCGTTGCTCGAGTGCCTCAAGGAGTGGAACGGCGAGCCCCTGCCCATCTGCTGAGCAGAGAAACGGATCGGGAGAAAGAGCGGAGTGTTCATTGTTCAATAGTTCGAAATCAGTTTTTTTTCTTCTTCCTTTATTTTTGGAACGTGGGTAGCAAAGGCTAATGACTGTATTCCATTCTTATGAATTACGTTAAGTTTTTAAGAAATATGTATTCCATTCTAGTTATTATTTTGTTTTGACAGCTAAATGTCTAAATTATTATCGAATCAGGTTTTTCTAACAGTATCTTGATCATAAAAAGAAGTACAGGCTTGCTAAGTGGAATATACTTTGCAAGCCAAGATGTATGGGGTTTTGGGCATCTTGAATTTAGAAGTAAGTACTATTGTTTACTCAGTAAATGATTGTTCAAACTTTTGAATGAGGTGGGTATTTGACAAGATGTGTTGAAAAAGAAATATTTTAAAAACAAATGTTTGCCCCAAGTGGTAAAGCGGCTGTCCCACTTTTGGGTAGGACTTATGGATGTTAAAGATCTTTTCTAAAAAAAAGATTTAAAGTTAATAGTGTAAACTGAACTAGATTTTGGAAGGATCTTTGTATTGTACAAGAACCTTTTAAACTAAAATGTCCAGGTCTTACGGAATAATGAGAAGAAAAGATGTTAAACTAGTCAAAGGGCTAAGTTCAACCCCTCTGAACATTTGGTTTAGAAGGGCAATAGTTGGTGATAGGTCCAAGGATTGACTTAGTCTTGTATCCTTAGTTTTACCCATTTATTTAAATGAGATGGTTTTATTTGGCTGTTAAGGAAAAATAGTGTCTTCTTAACTCAATCTTTGTATGGAGATATCATGAAAAAAGAGAGAATTTCTAGGGAAAATATTGTTCTGGCAGAGATACCTTTGAAGATAAAGATTTTTCTGTGGTAGGAGAGGTGTGATCCTAATAAGGGCTCGTTCGTTTCAGCTGAATCCAGGCCAGGAATAATTCTTGTTCACCGAAGCTTATTCAAATTAGATAACAAATCCAGCCTGGAATATTTCCAGGGAGTCATTCCCCTTCAAACGAACGTGGCCTAAAAGATAATTTACTAAAGTGAGCCTGAAAAGGGAACACTAAGTGTAACTTATGTGGCTTAGAAGAAACAGTACAACACCTCTCTTTTGACTGTCGTATGGCTAAATTTTTGCGGAATGCATTGTTCATCATTTTAAATTTGCATCCACCCAAGAATACGGTCCACTTGTTTGGTTCTTGATAAAGAGTTTTGCTTCAAGTTTGAGAAACCAGGTTATAATGGGGTTGGCACACTACTACAGCAGGTTCGTCACATCCGGTCCAGAACCCCCCCATCTCTGATGGTTATGCCACTTGGCACTAACTTGTCGACGGTGATGACATGGTTAACACCGACGGTTCAAAACCAGTAGTGTTAATAGTAGATCATTGCCGTTTGTCATCCGATCCGTTGTTGTTAGGGTTATTTTCACGATCGGTTCTGTCAAAATCCAGCATTTCATATTTTTCTAAGCACCGCCGTTTTGTGGAAGCAAACGTCGTTGACCTGTAATATGAACGACGGTTGATTGGTTCATCCGACGGTACCTAGGTGATATGCACTAACGTTTCATATTTTAAATGCGGTCCACACATTTGTGTTGGCCATTTGATCAAGATCGGTTATGCGTACATTCCGTCGGTGTATAGGTTGTTATGAAAGGTTGTCCATGTTTGCATCCACCTTTGATGACTACTATATCACCGGCGGATGTGGTTGGGAAACCAGTGATGTCGTTGTCCACATGACTAACGGTTACTTGCATTAACAGACGGTGAAACACATTATGATCAGGAGCGTTTATCGGGTTAAAGCGGTGGTGGTCAGTTTTGGTATTAACTCCGGTTTTTAATCCATGGTGGTAGCGGGCAACTCCTACGCGGGCTGCCGCATGGCGTGAGTAGAGGCGGGCGAGGTTGAGGCCCGGCGCCCATGGCGCGGCGAGGCGAAGTTGCAGATATGGCGGCGAATCTGGTGTCGCCGCTATTTTTTCTCTTTTTTTTTGTTTTGTGAAAATAAGAATCACTGTCGCCCAGTAGTAGAAAGGACCGCCCTATCACTATCGACCTTGTACTACCGGATCAAAATTCGGCAGTTAAAGCCAGTTTTGAACCTGTAGTGGATAACAACACTTGCATAGTGGAGGGAGCCATTCAACTTACTTGTCATCAAGTACTTCGGAGGCTATTGTCGATGATATGGACCCAGGGTACGTCATCAGACGTTGTGATCATGCAACTCTACGTAGGAAGCTTATGCAACGACTTCACCGAGATATGATAGCCATTCTGTTATTGTTTCCTTCTAACTAACTAGTAAACATATCTGTAAACCGATTGTTATCTATGTAACCCTACCCCAAATATATAAGGCGGGACAGAGAGCCCTCGATCGGTACCAATTAAAATACTCAGAAACCCCTTGTAACTCGAGCACGCGAGATAAAGAAGATCTACTTCAAACTGGACGTAAGGTATCACATACCTGAACCATGATTCCATGTACGTGATACGATGATCTCCATTGCAGGGGTCAAAAACTACGACACTATGCGACTCACAACATTCTTTTTTCCATGCACAAATTAAAGAATTGCATTTTCCCTTATGCGGTCCAACATGAAACCTACCACCAGAGAAGCTTAAAGGCAGGTACATTGCTACATGCCAGCGGTCTTAAAGATCGTCTCATGCAATATCATATAGGATCTTTTTTTTGTGACGAAAGAAGAATTATATTAGATAATAGCTGGTTCTATCAACACATTACAAGTACTCTGGAATACACTACATATATCCAGAAACAGATTTTCATCTAAATTGTACCCACGCTATGAAAAGCTCAAAATCTCAAAACGAAACCTATTTGACGCTTCGTATGGATGATCGCACAAGCAAACACTTGGTAACAGGTCTGAGAATAGATGCCCAACAAATGGCGGCCAACATCCTTGCAGGTGGTGTTGACAAACTTCTTCTTTCTTGTGTCTTCCATCTTTTTCTTTCCGCTTTGAAGAATGAGGAAAGACGATGTGAAACTTATTCAAAGTGACGTTAGAAAAGTTTGAGGTAATTTTTCAAAATAAAAAAAAAGAAAAGAAAAGTTTGAGGTAGCTATATTTCTTGGGCAATGCTGGTATTTTTTCAAAGAAAAGAGCACCTTTTCATTTATAAAAGGGCCATTATGACAAGATGATGATTATCAGCAAAAGATCACCGAAAAAAAAAGAACAAAGGACATAAAACACTGCATCCACGGTAAGCATGGATAACAAAACTGTTCATCATTCAGACCGAACCGCGACGCAACCATCAAAGGCCCAAAGTACTCCCTCTATCTCATAAAAAAAACTAATTATAAGTTTTAGATAAGCCAGAGTTTATAGGGAAAAAAACGTCAGCATTTATCTCCAATTAGATTTACCATGAAAATATATTACATAATCAATGTAATGATACTTACTCGATATAAATTTTTGTATAAGTTTAGTCAAATTTAAAATTATTTAAATCTCTGAGAAATGAAATGAAAATTACATTCTTTTTTGAACGAGTGAGTAACATCATTCAACGCCAAGATAAGAACACAGTCGAAAGCACGCACCAGTGAGAGAGTGAGAAAGCTTTGTTTTCAATGGAAATACTTCGACACGGGCCCTGTCCGCCCGCGTCCGTTAGGATACGGCTTCCCACTCCGCTTTGCCTGCTACTCTCAAGAAAAAAATCTCCTCGCTCCTTCTCGCCCTCCCTGCACCGTCACCGCTACCTCCTTCCTCCGCCCAAGCCGACCACGCCATCTCCTCTCTCAGTTCGCGCAGCGCCTCCCCGGCCGACCTCTTCCCCAAGCCAGCGCTGTTGGGATGCCTCATCAACGTGGGCTGTCGCCGCTGCCCCTGCCGATGGCGGCTGGGCGCACGTGCCGGGGCGCCTCAGGTCGTCCCCAGTCTAGCCAAGGGGCACCCACGAGCGCGGCCAGTACTAGTGGTGCTCGCGTGCCACCGCTCGCCGCCGGCTCCCACCCTGATGGCCAGAATCGATCGGCCCCAGTCTCATTTCCTTTGTTGCAAACTTATGTTTCAGTTGTTTTAGAGGTATGTTACAAGTGTTTAATATGAATATTGCAAAAGTAGATTGGGATGTTGAATATGTTGCAATGGTTATACACGTGGGCTGCAAGCATGTATTTTAAATGTTTCATCTGTTTTTTTCAGACGTATGTTGCAAGTGTTTTTATTTGGATGTCGCACATGTTTCACACATATATTGTATTTGTTTCACAAATATGTTGTAAGTGTTTTATCTGGATGTAGCATATATTTTGCAATGGCTTCTCAAGTGTTTTTAGGTGTTTTTGCAAGTGTTTCGGACACATGTTTCATCTGTTTTCAGACGCATGTTGCAAATGTTTTATCTGGACGTTTCTAAAATGGATCGGGTGTTGTACAGGTTACATTGTGACTCACCTGCCACAGTTGACTGCTGCAGCTGCTGGGACGGCGTGCATGCGTGTGACAAGATGATGATTATCAGCGAAAGAGTACGAAAAAAACAAAGGACATAAAACACTGCATCCCCAGTAAGCATGGACAACAAAACAGCTCATCATTCACCAATCACCACGAAAGGTCCTAAATAACAGCATTTAGCGCGAAGACAAAAACACAGTCGAAAGCACGCACCCCAGTCAGATTGCGAGAAAGCTTTTCTTTTTTGCAAAGGTGAGAGCGATAACGTTGAACCAAGGCAAAGCCATGCGCATGTCCCGTCCTCACCAACTCTTGGGTCTTGAGTCCTGATGCGCACCAACCGCAGACCTGCTGCGACCGAGCTTCCTGCCCCAGCGATGAACACGAAAGGCCACCAAGATCGGCACATGTTTGTCTTCTCTTCCAACTAACTGGCGCATTGGCATGGTCGTCTTGGACCAGTCACCACAGTCCACACCACCAGCTCCCTTCCCGGAAGCCTATTTAAACCTCGCCGCTCCCACTGGTTCTGTCCAGGAAGAGCAGCACTACCAAATCCTAGCGCAACACTAGCTCTCCTGTACAGCTTCCCAACAATCCATATCTCGCTGATCGGAATTTCTCAAATCGATCCTCAGCTTCATCGGTGCTTTAGTTCTCTGTGCTTGCAATGGCGTGCGAGAACAGCAACGTTACTGCCAATGGCGATGGCCTGTGCATGGCGACGCCCCGCGCTGACCCGCTTAACTGGGGGAAGGCGGCGGAGGAGCTGATGGGCAGCCACCTCGACGAGGTGAAGCGGATGGTGGCCGAGTACCGCCAGCCCTTGGTGAAGATCGAGGGCGCCAGCCTCCGCATCGCGCAGGTGGCCGCCGTGGCCGCCGGCGCTGGCGAGGCCCGCGTCGAGCTCGACGAGTCCGCCCGTGGCCGGGTCAAGGCCAGCAGCGACTGGGTCATGAACAGCATGATGAACGGCACCGACAGCTACGGCGTCACCACCGGCTTCGGCGCCACGTCCCACAGGAGGACCAAGGAGGGCGGCGCTCTCCAGAGGGAGCTCATCCGGTTCCTCAACGCTGGCGCATTCGGCACCGGCACCGACGGCCACGTCCTGCCGGCCGAAGCCACGAGGGCGGCCATGCTCGTCCGCATCAACACCCTGCTCCAGGGGTACTCCGGCATCCGCTTCGAGATCCTGGAGGCGATCGTCAAGCTGCTCAATGCCAACGTCACGCCGTGCCTGCCGCTCCGCGGCACGGTCACCGCGTCCGGCGACCTCGTGCCGCTCTCCTACATTGCCGGCCTCGTCACCGGGCGCGAGAACTCTGTTGCAGTCGCCCCGGATGGCAGCAAGGTGAACGCCGCAGAGGCGTTCAAGATTGCCGGCATCCAGGGCGGCTTCTTCGAGCTGCAGCCCAAGGAGGGTCTTGCGATGGTGAACGGCACGGCCGTGGGCTCTGGCCTTGCCTCCACCGTGCTCTTTGAGGCGAACATCCTAGCCATCCTTGCCGAGGTCCTGTCCGCCGTGTTCTGCGAGGTCATGAACGGCAAGCCGGAGTACACCGACCACCTGACCCACAAGCTGAAGCACCACCCGGGACAGATCGAGGCGGCTGCCATCATGGAGCACATCTTGGAGGGAAGCTCCTACATGAAGCTTGCCAAGAAGCTCGGCGAGCTGGACCCGTTGATGAAGCCGAAGCAGGACCGGTACGCGCTCCGCACGTCGCCGCAGTGGCTTGGCCCCAGATTGAGGTTATCCGTGCCGCCACCAAGTCCATTGAGCGCGAGATCAACTCCGTCAACGACAACCCGCTCATCGATGTCGCCCGCAGCAAGGCTCTTCACGGTGGCAACTTCCAGGGCACGCCCATCGGGGTGTCCATGGACAACACCCGTCTCGCCATCGCAGCCATCGGCAAGCTCATGTTTGCGCAGTTCTCTGAGCTCGTCAACGACTACTACAACAACGGCTTGCCCTCCAACCTGTCCGGTGGGCGCAACCCCAGCTTGGACTACGGCTTCAAGGGCGCCGAGATCGCCATGGCGTCCTACTGCTCTGAGCTGCAGTTCCTGGGGAACCCGGTCACCAACCACGTCCAGAGCGCGGAGCAGCACAACCAGGACGTGAACTCGCTCGGACTCATCTCCTCCAGGAAGACCGCTGAGGCCATCGAGATCCTGAAGCTCATGTCCTCGACGTTCCTGATCGCCCTGTGCCAGGCGGTCGACCTGCGGCACATCGAGGAGAACGTGAAGAGCGCCGTCAAGAGCTGCGTGATGACGGTGGCGAAGAAGACTCTGAGCACCAACTCCACCGGCGGTCTCCACGTCGCGCGCTTCTGCGAGAAGGACCTGCTCCAGGAGATCGAGCGCGAGGCGGTGTTCGCGTATGCCGACGACCCCTGCAGCGCTAACTACCCGCTGATGAAGAAGCTTCGCAACGTGCTCGTGGAGCGCGCCCTCGCCAACGGCGCTGCCGAGTTCGACGCCGAGACATCCGTGTTCGCCAAGGTCGCCCAGTTCGAGGAGGAGCTGCGCGCGGCGCTGCCCAAGGCGGTGGAGGCTGCACGGGCGGCTGTCGAGAACGGCACGGCAGCGGTACCAAACAGAATCACCGAGTGCCGCTCCTACCCGCTCTACCGCTTCGTGCGCGAGGAGGTCGGAGCCGTGTACCTCACAGGCGAGAAGACGCGCTCTCCCGGCGAGGAGCTCAACAAGGTGCTCGTTGCCATCAACCAGGGCAAGCACATCGACCCGTTGCTCGAGTGCCTCAAGGAGTGGAACGGCGAGCCCCTGCCCATCTGCTGAGCAGAGAAACGGATCGGGAGAAAGAGCGGAGTGTTCATTGTTCAATAGTTCGAAATCAGTTTTTTTTCTTCTTCCTTTATTTTTGGAACGTGGGTAGCAAAGGCTAATGACTGTATTCCATTCTTATGAATTACGTTAAGTTTTTAAGAAATATGTATTCCATTCTAGTTATTATTTTGTTTTGACAGCTAAATGTCTAAATTATTATCGAATCAGGTTTTTCTAACAGTATCTTGATCATAAAAAGAAGTACAGGCTTGCTAAGTGGAATATACTTTTGCAAGCCAAGATGTATGGGGTTTTGGGCATCTTGAATTTAGAAGTAAGTACTATTGTTTACTCAGTAAATGATTGTTCAAACTTTTGAATGAGGTGGGTATTTGACAAGATGTGTTGAAAAAGAAATATTTTAAAAACAAATGTTTGCCCCAAGTGGTAAAGCGGCTGTCCCACTTTTGGGTAGGACTTATGGATGTTAAAGATCTTTTCTAAAAAAAAGATTTAAAGTTAATAGTGTAAACTGAACTAGATTTTGGAAGGATCTTTGTATTGTACAAGAACCTTTTAAACTAAAATGTCCAGGTCTTACGGAATAATGAGAAGAAAAGATGTTAAACTAGTCAAAGGGCTAAGTTCAACCCCTCTGAACATTTGGTTTAGAAGGGCAATAGTTGGTGATAGGTCCAAGGATTGACTTAGTCTTGTATCCTTAGTTTTACCCATTTATTTAAATGAGATGGTTTTATTTGGCTGTTAAGGAAAAATAGTGTCTTCTTAACTCAATCTTTGTATGGAGATATCATGAAAAAAGAGAGAATTTCTAGGGAAAATATTGTTCTGGCAGAGATACCTTTGAAGATAAAGATTTTTCTGTGGTAGGAGAGGTGTGATCCTAATAAGGGCTCGTTCGTTTCAGCTGAATCCAGGCCAGGAATAATTCTTGTTCACCGAAGCTTATTCAAATTAGATAACAAATCCAGCCTGGAATATTTCCAGGGAGTCATTCCCCTTCAAACGAACGTGGCCTAAAAGATAATTTACTAAAGTGAGCCTGAAAAGGGAACACTAAGTGTAACTTATGTGGCTTAGAAGAAACAGTACAACACCTCTCTTTTGACTGTCGTATGGCTAAATTTTTGCGGAATGCGTTGTTCATCATTTTAAATTTGCATCCACCCAAGAATACGGTCCACTTGTTTGGTTCTTGATAAAGAGTTTTGCTTCAAGTTTGAGAAACCAGGTTATAATGGGGTTGGCACACTACTACAGCAGGTTCGTCACATCCGGTCCAGAACCCCCCATCTCTGATGGTTATGCCACTTGGCACTAACTTGTCGACGGTGATGACATGGTTAACACCGACGGTTCAAAACCAGTAGTGTTAATAGTAGATCATTGCCGTTTTGTCATCTGATCCGTTGTTGTTAGGGTTATTTTCACAGTCGGTTCTGTCAAAATCCAGCATTTCATATTTTCTAAGCACCGCCGTTTTGTGGAAGCAAACGTCGTTGACCTGTAATATGAACGACGGTTGATTGGTTCATCTGACGGTACCTAGGTGATATGCACTAACGTTTCATATTTTGGTACGGTCATACAGCTGTGTTGGCCATTTGATCAGCATCGGTTATGCGTACATTCCGTCGGTGTATAGGTTGTTATGAAAGGTTGTCCATGTTTGCATCCACCTTTGATGACTACTATATCACCGGCGGATGTGGTTGGGAAACCAGTGATGTCGTTGTCCACATGACTAACGGTTACTTGCATTAACAGACGGTGAAACACATTATGATCAGGAGCGTTTATCGGGTTAAAGCGGTGGTGGTAAGTTTTGGTATTAACTCCGGTTTTTAATCCATGGTGGTAGCCGGGCAACTCCTACGCGGGGCTGCCGCGGGCGTGAGTAGGGCGGGGCGAGGCCAGGCCGGCGCCAGCGCAGCCGGGCGAGTTGCAGATATGGCGGCGAATCTGGTGTCGCCGCTATTTTTTCTCTTTTTTTTTGTTTTGTGAAAATAAGAATCATGTCGCCCGAAGAGTAGAAAGGACCGCCCTATCACTATCGACCTTGTACTACCGGATCAAAATTCGGCGATTAAAGCCGCTTTTGAACCTGTAGTGGATAACAACACTTGCATAGTGGAGGAGCCATTCAACTTACTTGTCATCAAGTACCGGAGGCTATTGTCGATGATATGGACCTGTGGTACGTCATCGACGCGTTGTGATCATGCAACTCACGTGGGAAGCTTATGCAACGACTTCACGGAGATATGATAGCCATTCTGTTATTGTTTCCTTCTAACTAACTAGTAAACATATCTGTAAACCGATTGTTATCTATGTAACCCTACCCCAAATATATAAGGCGGGACAGAGAGCCCTCGATCGGTACCAATTAAAATACTCAGAAACCCCTTGTAACTCGAGCACGCGAGATAAAGAAGATCTACTTCAAACTGGACGTAAGGTATCACATACCTGAACCATGATTCCATGTACGTGATACGATGATCTCCATTGCAGGGGTCAAAAACTACGACACTATGCGACTCACAACATTCTTTTTTCCATGCACAAATTAAAGAATTGCATTTTCCCTTATGCGGTCCAACATGAAACCTACCACCAGAGAAGCTTAAAGGCAGGTACATTGCTACATGCCAGCGGTCTTAAAGATCGTCTCATGCAATATCATATAGGATCTTTTTTTTGTGACGAAAGAAGAATTATATTAGATAATAGCTGGTTCTATCAACACATTACAAGTACTCTGGAATACACTACATATATCCAGAAACAGATTTTCATCTAAATTGTACCCACGCTATGAAAAGCTCAAAATCTCAAAACGAAACCTATTTGACGCTTCGTATGGATGATCGCACAAGCAAACACTTGGTAACAGGTCTGAGAATAGATGCCCAACAAATGGCGGCCAACATCCTTGCAGGTGGTGTTGACAAACTTCTTCTTTCTTGTGTCTTCCATCTTTTTCTTTCTGCCACTGAAGAATGAGGAAGACTGATGTGAAACTTATTCTCAGTGACGTTAGAAAAGTTTGAGGTAATTTTTCAAAATAAAAAGAAAAGAAAAGTTTGAGGTAGCTATATTTCTTGGGCAATGCTGGTATTTTTTCAAAGAAAAGAGCACCTTTTCATTTATAAAAGGGCCATTATGACAAGATGATGATTATCAGCAAAAGATCACCGAAAAAAAAAGAACAAAGGACATAAAACACTGCATCCACGGTAAGCATGGATAACAAAACTGTTCATCATTCAGACCGAACCGCGACGCAACCATCAAAGGCCCAAAGTACTCCCTCTATCTCATAAAAAAAACTAATTATAAGTTTTAGATAAGCCAGAGTTTATAGGGAAAAAAACGTCAGCATTTATCTCCAATTAGATTTACCATGAAAATATATTACATAATCAATGTAATGATACTTACTCGATATAAATTTTTGTATAAGTTTAGTCAAATTTAAAATTATTTAAATCTCTGAGAAATGAAATGAAAATTACATTCTTTTTTGAACGAGTGAGTAACATCATTCAACGCCAAGATAAGAACACAGTCGAAAGCACGCACCAGTGAGAGAGTGAGAAAGCTTTGTTTTCAATGGAAATACTTCGACACGGGCCCTGTCCGCCCGCGTCCGTTAGGATACGGCTTCCCACTCCGCTTTGCCTGCTACTCTCAAGAAAAAAATCTCCTCGCTCCTTCTCGCCCTCCCTGCACCGTCACCGCTACCTCCTTCCTCCGCCCAAGCCGACCACGCCATCTCCTCTCTCAGTTCGCGCAGCGCCTCCCCGGCCGACCTCTTCCCCAAGCCAGCGCTGTTGGGATGCCTCATCAACGTGGGCTGTCGCCGCTGCCCCTGCCGATGGCGGCTGGGCGCACGTGCCGGGGCGCCTCAGGTCGTCCCCAGTCTAGCCAAGGGGCACCCACGAGAGCGGCCAGTACTAGTGGTGCTCGCGTGCCACCGCTCGCCGCCGGCTCCCACCCTGATGGCCAGAATCGATCGGCCCCAGTCTCATTTCCTTTGTTGCAAACTTATGTTTCAGTTGTTTTAGAGGTATGTTACAAGTGTTTAATATGAATATTGCAAAAGTAGATTGGGATGTTGAATATGTTGCAATGGTTATACACGTGGGCTGCAAGCATGTATTTTAAATGTTTCATCTGTTTTTTTCAGACGTATGTTGCAAGTGTTTTTATTTGGATGTCGCACATGTTTCACACATATATTGTATTTGTTTCACAAATATGTTGTAAGTGTTTTATCTGGATGTAGCATATATTTTGCAATGGCTTCTCAAGTGTTTTTAGGTGTTTTTGCAAGTGTTTCGGACACATGTTTCATACATTTTTCAGACGCATGTTGCAAATGTTTTATCTGGACGTTTCTAAAATGGATCGGGTGTTGTACAGGTTACATTGTGACTCACCTGCCACAGTTGACTGCTGCAGCTGCTGGGACGGCGTGCATGCGTGTGACAAGATGATGATTATCAGCGAAAGAGTACGAAAAAAACAAAGGACATAAAACACTGCATCCCCAGTAAGCATGGACAACAAAACAGCTCATCATTCACCAATCACCACGAAAGGTCCTAAATAACAGCATTTAGCGCGAAGACAAAAACACAGTCGAAAGCACGCACCCCAGTCAGATTGCGAGAAAGCTTTTCTTTTTTGCAAAGGTGAGAGCGATAACGTTGAACCAAGGCAAAGCCATGCGCATGTCCCGTCCTCACCAACTCTTGGGTCTTGAGTCCTGATGCGCACCAACCGCAGACCTGCTGCGACCGAGCTTCCTGCCCCAGCGATGAACACGAAAGGCCACCAAGATCGGCACATGTTTGTCTTCTCTTCCAACTAACTGGCGCATTGGCATGGTCGTCTTGGACCAGTCACCACAGTCCACACCACCAGCTCCCTTCCCGGAAGCCTATTTAAACCTCGCCGCTCCCACTGGTTCTGTCCAGGAAGAGCAGCACTACCAAATCCTAGCGCAACACTAGCTCTCCTGTACAGCTTCCCAACAATCCATATCTCGCTGATCGGAATTTCTCAAATCGATCCTCAGCTTCATCGGTGCTTTAGTTCTCTGTGCTTGCAATGGCGTGCGAGAACAGCAACGTTACTGCCAATGGCGATGGCCTGTGCATGGCGACGCCCCGCGCTGACCCGCTTAACTGGGGGAAGGCGGCGGAGGAGCTGATGGGCAGCCACCTCGACGAGGTGAAGCGGATGGTGGCCGAGTACCGCCAGCCCTTGGTGAAGATCGAGGGCGCCAGCCTCCGCATCGCGCAGGTGGCCGCCGTGGCCGCCGGCGCTGGCGAGGCCCGCGTCGAGCTCGACGAGTCCGCCCGTGGCCGGGTCAAGGCCAGCAGCGACTGGGTCATGAACAGCATGATGAACGGCACCGACAGCTACGGCGTCACCACCGGCTTCGGCGCCACGTCCCACAGGAGGACCAAGGAGGGCGGCGCTCTCCAGAGGGAGCTCATCCGGTTCCTCAACGCTGGCGCATTCGGCACCGGCACCGACGGCCACGTCCTGCCGGCCGAAGCCACGAGGGCGGCCATGCTCGTCCGCATCAACACCCTGCTCCAGGGGTACTCCGGCATCCGCTTCGAGATCCTGGAGGCGATCGTCAAGCTGCTCAATGCCAACGTCACGCCGTGCCTGCCGCTCCGCGGCACGGTCACCGCGTCCGGCGACCTCGTGCCGCTCTCCTACATTGCCGGCCTCGTCACCGGGCGCGAGAACTCTGTTGCAGTCGCCCCGGATGGCAGCAAGGTGAACGCCGCAGAGGCGTTCAAGATTGCCGGCATCCAGGGCGGCTTCTTCCGAGCTGCAGCCCAAGGAGGGTCTTGCGATGGTGAACGGCACGGCCGTGGGCTCTGGCCTTGCCTCCACCGTGCTCTTTGAGGCGAACATCCTAGCCATCCTTGCCGAGGTCCTGTCCGCCGTGTTCTGCGAGGTCATGAACGGCAAGCCGGAGTACACCGACCACCTGACCCACAAGCTGAAGCACCACCCGGGACAGATCGAGGCGGCTGCCATCATGGAGCACATCTTGGAGGGAAGCTCCTACATGAAGCTTGCCAAGAAGCTCGGCGAGCTGGACCCGTTGATGAAGCCGAAGCAGGACCGGTACGCGCTCCGCACGTCGCCGCAGTGGCTTGGCCCCCAGATTGAGGTTATCCGTGCCGCCACCAAGTCCATTGAGCGCGAGATCAACTCCGTCAACGACAACCCGCTCATCGATGTCGCCCGCAGCAAGGCTCTTCACGGTGGCAACTTCCAGGGCACGCCCATCGGGGTGTCCATGGACAACACCCGTCTCGCCATCGCAGCCATCGGCAAGCTCATGTTTGCGCAGTTCTCTGAGCTCGTCAACGACTACTACAACAACGGCTTGCCCTCCAACCTGTCCGGTGGGCGCAACCCCAGCTTGGACTACGGCTTCAAGGGCGCCGAGATCGCCATGGCGTCCTACTGCTCTGAGCTGCAGTTCCTGGGGAACCCGGTCACCAACCACGTCCAGAGCGCGGAGCAGCACAACCAGGACGTGAACTCGCTCGGACTCATCTCCTCCAGGAAGACCGCTGAGGCCATCGAGATCCTGAAGCTCATGTCCTCGACGTTCCTGATCGCCCTGTGCCAGGCGGTCGACCTGCGGCACATCGAGGAGAACGTGAAGAGCGCCGTCAAGAGCTGCGTGATGACGGTGGCGAAGAAGACTCTGAGCACCAACTCCACCGGCGGTCTCCACGTCGCGCGCTTCTGCGAGAAGGACCTGCTCCAGGAGATCGAGCGCGAGGCGGTGTTCGCGTATGCCGACGACCCTGCAGCGCTAACTACCCGCTGATGAAGAAGCTTCGCAACGTGCTCGTGGGCGCGCCCTCGCCAACGGCGCTGCCGAGTTCGACGCCGAGACATCCGTGTTCGCCAAGGTCGCCCAGTTCGAGGAGGAGCTGCGCGCGGCGCTGCCCAAGGCGGTGGAGGCTGCACGGGCGGCTGTCGAGAACGGCACGGCAGCGGTACCAAACAGAATCACCGAGTGCCGCTCCTACCCGCTCTACCGCTTCGTGCGCGAGGAGGTCGGAGCCGTGTACCTCACAGGCGAGAAGACGCGCTCTCCCGGCGAGGAGCTCAACAAGGTGCTCGTTGCCATCAACCAGGGCAAGCACATCGACCCGTTGCTCGAGTGCCTCAAGGAGTGGAACGGCGAGCCCCTGCCCATCTGCTGAGCAGAGAAACGGATCGGGAGAAAGAGCGGAGTGTTCATTGTTCAATAGTTCGAAATCAGTTTTTTTTTCTTCTTCCTTTATTTTTGGAACGTGGGTAGCAAAGGCTAATGACTGTATTCCATTCTTATGAATTACGTTAAGTTTTTAAGAAATATGTATTCCATTCTAGTTATTATTTTGTTTTGACAGCTAAATGTCTAAATTATTATCGAATCAGGTTTTTCTAACAGTATCTTGATCATAAAAAGAAGTACAGGCTTGCTAAGTGGAATATACTTTGCAAGCCAAGATGTATGGGGTTTTGGGCATCTTGAATTTAGAAGTAAGTACTATTGTTTACTCAGTAAATGATTGTTCAAACTTTTGAATGAGGTGGGTATTTGACAAGATGTGTTGAAAAAGAAATATTTTAAAAACAAATGTTTGCCCCAAGTGGTAAAGCGGCTGTCCCACTTTTGGGTAGGACTTATGGATGTTAAAGATCTTTTCTAAAAAAAAGATTTAAAGTTAATAGTGTAAACTGAACTAGATTTTGGAAGGATCTTTGTATTGTACAAGAACCTTTTAAACTAAAATGTCCAGGTCTTACGGAATAATGAGAAGAAAAGATGTTAAACTAGTCAAAGGGCTAAGTTCAACCCCTCTGAACATTTGGTTTAGAAGGGCAATAGTTGGTGATAGGTCCAAGGATTGACTTAGTCTTGTATCCTTAGTTTTACCCATTTATTTAAATGAGATGGTTTTATTTGGCTGTTAAGGAAAAATAGTGTCTTCTTAACTCAATCTTTGTATGGAGATATCATGAAAAAAGGAGAGAGAATTTCTAGGGAAAATATTGTTCTGGCAGAGATACCTTTGAAGATAAAGATTTTTCTGTGGTAGGAGAGGTGTGATCCTAATAAGGGCTCGTTCGTTTCAGCTGAATCCAGGCCAGGAATAATTCTTGTTCACCGAAGCTTATTCAAATTAGATAACAAATCCAGCCTGGAATATTTCCAGGGAGTCATTCCCCTTCAAACGAACGTGGCCTAAAAGATAATTTACTAAAGTGAGCCTGAAAAGGGAACACTAAGTGTAACTTATGTGGCTTAGAAGAAACAGTACAACACCTCTCTTTTGACTGTCGTATGGCTAAATTTTTGCGGAATGCGTTGTTCATCATTTTAAATTTGCATCCACCCAAGAATACGGTCCACTTGTTTGGTTCTTGATAAAGAGTTTTGCTTCAAGTTTGAGAAACCAGGTTATAATGGGGTTGGCACACTACTACAGCAGGTTCGTCACATCCGGTCCAGAACCCCCCATCTCTGATGGTTATGCCACTTGGCACTAACTTGTCGACGGTGATGACATGGTTAACACCGACGGTTCAAAACCAGTAGTGTTAATAGTAGATCATTGCCGTTTTGTCATCTGATCCGTTGTTGTTAGGGTTATTTTCACAGTCGGTTCTGTCAAAATCCAGCATTTCATATTTTCTAAGCACCGCCGTTTTGTGGAAGCAAACGTCGTTGACCTGTAATATGAACGACGGTTGATTGGTTCATCTGACGGTACCTAGGTGATATGCACTAACGTTTCATATTTTGGTACGGTCATACAGCTGTGTTGGCCATTTGATCAGCATCGGTTATGCGTACATTCCGTCGGTGTATAGGTTGTTATGAAAGGTTGTCCATGTTTGCATCCACCTTTGATGACTACTATATCACCGGCGGATGTGGTTGGGAAACCAGTGATGTCGTTGTCCACATGACTAACGGTTACTTGCATTAACAGACGGTGAAACACATTATGATCAGGAGCGTTTATCGGGTTAAAGCGGTGGTGGTAAGTTTTGGTATTAACTCCGGTTTTTAATCCATGGTGGTAGCCGGGCAACTCCTACGCGGGGCTGCCGCGGGCGTGAGTAGGGCGGGGCGAGGCCAGGCCGGCGCCAGCGCAGCCGGGCGAGTTGCAGATATGGCGGCGAATCTGGTGTCGCCGCTATTTTTTTTTTTTTTGTTTTGTGAAAATAAGAATCACTGTCGCCCAGTAGTAGAAAGGACCGCCCTATCACTATCGACCTTGTACTACCGGATCAAAATTCGGCAGTTAAAGCCAGTTTTGAACCTGTAGTGGATAACAACACTTGCATAGTGGAGGGAGCCATTCAACTTACTTGTCATCAAGTACTTCGGAGGCTATTGTCGATGATATGGACCCAGGGTACGTCATCAGACGTTGTGATCATGCAACTCTACGTAGGAAGCTTATGCAACGACTTCACCGAGATATGATAGCCATTCTGTTATTGTTTCCTTCTAACTAACTAGTAAACATATCTGTAAACCGATTGTTATCTATGTAACCCTACCCCAAATATATAAGGCGGGACAGAGAGCCCTCGATCGGTACCAATTAAAATACTCGAAACCCCTTGTAACTCGAAAGCACGCGAGATAAAGAAGATCTACTTCAAATCGGACGTAAGGTATCACATACCGAACCATGATTCCATGCACGTGATACGATGATCTCCATTGCAGGGGTCAAAAACTACGACACTATGCGACTCACAACATTCTTTTTTCCATGCACAAATTAAAGAATTGCATTTTCCCTTATGCGGTCCAACATGAAACCTACCACCAGAGAAGCTTAAAGGCAGGTACATTGCTACATGCCAGCGGTCTTAAAGATCGTCTCATGCAATATCATATAGGATCTTTTTTTTGTGACGAAAGAAGAATTATATTAGATAATAGCTGGTTCTATCAACACATTACAAGTACTCTGGAATACACTACATATATCCAGAAACAGATTTTCATCTAAATTGTACCCACGCTATGAAAAGCTCAAAATCTCAAAACGAAACCTATTTGACGCTTCGTATGGATGATCGCACAAGCAAACACTTGGTAACAGGTCTGAGAACATATGCCCAACAAATGGCGGCCAACATCCTTGCAGGTGGTGTTGACAAACTTCTTCTTTCTTGTGTCTTCCATCTTTTTCTTTCTGCCACTGAAGAATGAGGAAGACTGATGTGAAACTTATTCTCAGTGACGTTAGAAAAGTTTGAGGTAATTTTTCAAAATAAAAAGAAAAGAAAAGTTTGAGGTAGCTATATTTCTTGGGCAATGCTGGTATTTTTTCAAAGAAAAGAGCACCTTTTCATTTATAAAAGGGCCATTATGACAAGATGATGATTATCAGCAAAAGATCACCGAAAAAAAAGAACAAAGGACATAAAACACTGCATCCACGGTAAGCATGGATAACAAAACTGTTCATCATTCAGACCGAACCGCGACGCAACCATCAAAGGCCCAAAGTACTCCCTCTATCTCATAAAAAAAACTAATTATAAGTTTTAGATAAGCCAGAGTTTATAGGGAAAAAACGTCAGCATTTATCTCCAATTAGATTTACCATGAAAATATATTACATAATCAATGTAATGATACTTACTCGATATAAATTTTTGTATAAGTTTAGTCAAATTTAAAATTATTTAAATCTCTGAGAAATGAAATGAAAATTACATTCTTTTTTGAACGAGTGAGTAACATCATTCAACGCCAAGATAAGAACACAGTCGAAAGCACGCACCAGTGAGAGAGTGAGAAAGCTTTGTTTTCAATGGAAATACTTCGACACGGGCCCTGTCCGCCCGCGTCCGTTAGGATACGGCTTCCCACTCCGCTTTGCCTGCTACTCTCAAGAAAAAAATCTCCTCGCTCCTTCTCGCCCTCCCTGCACCGTCACCGCTACCTCCTTCCTCCGCCCAAGCCGACCACGCCATCTCCTCTCTCAGTTCGCGCAGCGCCTCCCCGGCCGACCTCTTCCCCAAGCCAGCGCTGTTGGGATGCCTCATCAACGTGGGCTGTCGCCGCTGCCCCTGCCGATGGCGGCTGGGCGCACGTGCCGGGGCGCCTCAGGTCGCCCCCAGTCTAGCCAAGGGGCACCCACGAGCGGCCAGTACTAGTGGTGCTCGCGTGCCACCGCTTCGCGCCGGCTCCCACCACGATGGCGTAATCGATCGGCATTTGATCTCATTTCCTTTGTTGCAAACTTATGTTTTGATTGTTTTAGAGGTATGTTACAAGTGTTTAATATGAATATTGCAAAAGTAGATTGGGATGTTGAATATGTTGCAATGGTTATACGTACGTGGGCTGCAAGCATGTATTTTAAATGTTTCATCTGCTTTTTTTTTAGAGACGTATGTTGCAAGTGTTTTTATTTGGATGTCGCACATGTTTCACACATATATTGTATTTGTTTCACAAATATGTTGTAAGTGTTTTATCTGGATGTAGCATATATTTTGCAATGGCTTCTCAAGTGTTTTTAGGTGTTTTTGCAAGTGTGTTTGGACACATGTTTCATCTGCATTTTTCGACGCATGTTGCAAATGTTTTATCCTGGACGTTTCTAAAATGGATCGGGTGTTGTACAGGTTACATTGTGACTCACCTGCCACAGTTGACTGCTGCAGCTGCTGGGACGGCGTGCATGCGTGTGACAAGATGATGATTATCAGCGAAAGAGTACGAAAAAAACAAAGGACATAAAACACTGCATCCCCAGTAAGCATGGACAACAAAACAGCTCATCATTCACCAATCACCACGAAAGGTCCTAAATAACAGCATTTAGCGCGAAGACAAAAACACAGTCGAAAGCACGCACCCCAGTCAGATTGCGAGAAAGCTTTTCTTTTTTGCAAAGGTGAGAGCGATAACGTTGAACCAAGGCAAAGCCATGCGCATGTCCCGTCCTCACCAACTCTTGGGTCTTGAGTCCTGATGCGCACCAACCGCAGACCTGCTGCGACCGAGCTTCCTGCCCCAGCGATGAACACGAAAGGCCACCAAGATCGGCACATGTTTGTCTTCTCTTCCAACTAACTGGCGCATTGGCATGGTCGTCTTGGACCAGTCACCACAGTCCACACCACCAGCTCCCTTCCCGGAAGCCTATTTAAACCTCGCCGCTCCCACTGGTTCTGT